TGTGGAAGCAGGCCTCCCCCAAACCTCCCCGACGCTCCCCCACCTCACCCATTGGCAGCCCCACTTCTCACCCCCACGTCCCCCACAACTCACCCCACGCTCCCACCTCACCCCACGCTCCCCACAACCCACCCAGCCTCCACAACGCGTACCCCACGCTCCCCACCTCACCCCACGCTCCCAACTCACCATGCACCCCCATCCACTCCCACGTCCAAGCTCCCCACCCTACCCCAACACGCAAGAGGCGCATCTCAGGAGCTCGTTCCCCGCCCCATGGCCGGGGCCCCATGGGGCTCACCTTCAGTTCAAAGGTGCGCAATGGCTTGGAGGCGGTATGGTGGACGCCCGTCAGGGGATCGCTTGAGGACTGAGGGCTCGCCTCGTGGAGCGGGGACTCTTTCCGCAGGGGAGTCGAAGGTTCCCCGCCAGAGACCAGCTCCAGGATGAGGACCCGTCCGCTGGTTTTCGGAGATGTCGTTGCGGTGATGATGTTGGGGTTGCCGGATCTCCCGCAGGGATGTTCACCCGCTCAATCTCCTCCCGGTCACCCGCGCGGGCTGGATGGACAGCGGGCGGCTCTCTGATGGAAACCTTGGACCGGGCGTACCCTTCCTTACCCGTGCCCTTCTGGCCGGCACTCGTCACTATCAGCAAAATGGCGCTGGAGGAAGGGGATGGAGTGAGGAAAAAAAAAAAAAAAAAAAGAGAGGCACTCATTTCCAGACAAATAACTGAAAAGAAATAAACGGGAACTGGGAGAGATTTGGATTAATCCAGGGGAATTTTACCCAGTCACAAGAAAGAACAGGCCAGCTCTTTACGTGTGGACAAGAAGAGACCTTCGTGACGTCACCCACTCCGTGAGGCGGAGAACACGGTCTTTTTCGTCAGAAAGGTATCAAGGCTACACAGCAGCCTGTCCGCAGCAGGTCCCCCAGGAGGGGGGTTAAGGACGTGTGCACAGAGGGAGGGTTTGCTTTTTATTTGTTGCAGTTCCATCCTGACCAAACTAGTCACCGCAGAATTCATTTCACCATTTTCGTAAATCTACGCCACTGACTTCGAAAGAGCTCCCTACTCAGCGTACAGAGGGAAAGAAACACGCATGTTCACGAGATAAGAGACCAGAGTGAGGATGTGGGGCCGGAGCCACACGCGCCCGGGTGGAGCTGTGGAAACAGCCTGGCCCCTCGGAAGCTTCAACACGGAGTTTCCACGTAACCCACAATTCCACTCCTGGGATCTCCACAAGAAACGCACACACACGTCCACGCGGTAACTTCCACAGGGATGCTCACAGCAGCACTGCCACAGTAGCCGCGGGTGGAAACAGCTCAAACGCCCGTCAGCGGAAGCATGGTCAACACAGGGTGGCCCATCCACACACCGGAGCCCGAGCCAGCCATGAACAGGAACAAGCCCCACGACGGGCCACAGCATGGAGGAACCTTGAGGACATCACGCCAGACACAAAAGGCCTAAGCCCTGCTCCAGGCGCTGGAGTCGCTGCCATGGGCTGGGCGTGGGCCTGTCCTTCCGGGCCTCACGTCCCAGCAGCATGGAGGGCCACAGATAAACAATGTGTGCTCACTGCACCTCCAGGAGACCCAGGTCAGGGTGTGCTGGTAACAACTCCCATGGCGGGCCACCAGGGACATGCTCTGCACACACGCCGGGGGTCAGAGGCAGGGACATTCGAGGTGGGCAAGGGGAGGTGCCCAATTATTAATGATCATGGGGGAGACTAAACATAACAGCCCCTTCAAAGACATCATCCACGTGCTAACCCCTGGGACCTGCCAAGATGGCGTCTTAACAGCAGAAGGGGCTCGGCAGATGGGATGAGGTTAAGGATCTGGAGACGGGAGAGCATCCTGGGTAATCCGGCGCCCAGTGTCCTCGTAGCATCCTCGTGAGATGAGAGTCAGAGAGAGACTGGAAGAGGCTGCGCTGTGGCTGTGAAGGGGAAGGAAGGAGTCCCCGAGAGCCAAGCAGATGCCTCTAGACTCTGGGAAAGGTGGGAACCGCATTCCCCCCGGAGCCTCCAGGAGGGCCCAGCCCTGTGGGTCCCCGGTAGACTCGGAACCCCCGAGGGAAGCCATGGTCATCCAGGGCACTCACTTGTGGGGTTTGTTACAGCGGCTGCAGGAGCCTCACGCTGACAGCCAAGGGCAGAGCTGGGAGGAAAGCGAGGCAGTCCTCATCAGGCTCGGCCCACCCGGCCCAGGCCGCTTGCAACACGACGTCCCCTGCATACATTCTGCTCCCTCAGACTCGGCCCACCCGGCCCAGGCCGCCTGCAACACGACATCCCCTGCATACATTCTGCTCCCTTGGACTCGGCCCACCCGGCCCAGGCCGCCTGCAACATGACGTCCCCTGCATACATTCTGCTCCCTCAGACTCAGCCCACCCGGCCCAGACTGTGTGCAACACAACATCCTGCATACATTCTGCTCCCACCCTGGCGCCGTCCTTGCTGTAACACTCCCTGCACCTGGAGCTCCTTCCTCCTTCCCCTCTGCCTGCACCCACCAGACTGACGGTAATACTTCTACCTCCTATCGCAGGAGGACTCCCACGGCCACAGCATCCAAATCCAGTGGTACCCACGTGCCAGGAACTTGGCGGGAATATCTGGATGTGTTGCCTCCTTTTTTATTTATTTATTCATTTATTTATTTTTGAGACAGAGTCTCACTCTGTCGCCCAGGCTGGGGTGCAGTGGTGCGATCTCGGCTCACTGCAACCTCTGCCTCCTGAGTTCAAGTGATTCGCCTGCCTCAGCCTCTCAAGTAGCTGGGATTACAGGCACGCACCACCTCGCCCGGCTAATTTTTGTATTTTTAGTAGAGACAGGGTTTCACCATGTTGGCCAGACTGGTCTCAAACTCCTGACCTCAAGTGATCTGCCTGCCTTGACCTCCCAAAGTGCTGGGATTACAGGTATAAGCCACCACGCCTGGCCGGGTTGCCTCCTTTTTAAACACGCAGATTTTATCCCTCTAGTGTTATTCCAACCTGAACTAAAAAATAAAGAGGAGGCTGGGTGCAGAGGCTTATGCCTGTAATCCAAACACTTTGGGAGGCTGAGATGGGAGGATCACTTGAGGTCAGGAGTTCGAGTCCAGACTGGGTGTAACACAGCGAGACCCCATCTCTACAAAACATAATTAGCACACACACACAGGTGCAAAAGAAGCGTGTCGATGCTCCTTCATCCCCAGTGAGTCGGGTCAGCAGTAGCCTGTGGTCCTAAGGTGAGTGGACGTGGCTCTGCTTTGCTCCCAGCCCTGTTAACAGTGGTGATTTCCAGCAGCTAGTCCAAAGTCAATCAACAATAAAAGTCGGGAGACACAAAGTACTGCTCAGAACGGAATCCCAGCTCACTCATGCCTCTGAACCTGAGGGCTTATCACAGTCACCCACGTAAGAGCCCTAGGCTGAGAATATGGGGGAGGCCAGCCTCTGGGCCACCAGGTCCACACTTCCTCCCTACCCTCGGCTGATCCAGTCTACGCTTCCTCCCCCACTACAGGGCGGATCCGGTCCACAATGCCTCCCCACCCACGGCAGATTCAGTCTACACTGCCTCCCCGACTGCAGGGCAGATCCGGTCCACACTGCCCCCCCACCCAGGGCGGATCCAGTTCACACTGTCTCCCCGACTGTAAGGCGGATCCGGTCCACACTGCCTCCCCACTGCGGGGAGGATCCAGTCCACGCTTCCTCCCTACCCAGGGCTGATCCAGTCCACGCTTCCTCCCCACCCAGGGCTGATCTGGTCCACGCTTCCTCCCCACCCAGGGCGATCCAGTCCACGCTTCCTCCCCACTGTAGGGAGGATCCAGTCCATGCTTCCTCCCTACCCAGGACGGATCCAGTCCACGCTTCCTCCCCACCCGGGGCTGATCTGGTCCAAGCTTCCTCCCCACCCGGGGCTGATCACTGGAGGGTCTGAGTTCCAGGCTGTCTTGGTGTCATTTCCATCCATCTCCGAGTTAACTCTACAAAGCAAGGGCCAGACCCACCCTTTTTTTTTGTTTTTTTGAGACAGGGTCTGGTTCTGTTGCTCAGGCTGGAGAGCAGTAGTTCATTCATGGCTCACTGCAGCCTCGACCTCCTGGGCTCGGGCAATCCTCCTGCCTCGGCCTCTCAAGCAGCTTGGACTACAGGCACACACCACCACACCCAGTTAATTTTTTTTTTCTTTTTGTAAAGATGAGGTCTCACTCTGTTGCCCACGCTGGTCTCTAACTCCTGGGCTCAAGCGATCCCTCCCAAGTAGGTGGGACTACAGGCACATGCTGCCACACCTAATTTATTCATTCTATTTTTTGTAGAGACAAGATCTTGCTGTATTGCCCAGGCTGGTTTGGAACTCCTGACCTCAGGAGATCCTCCCACTCCACCCCCCCAAAATGTTGGCATTACAGGTGGAGACACTGCACCTGGCCACTATTCGCATTTTAAAGAAACTGAGGCTGAGAAAAGGAAAGCAACTAGCCCGAGGACATGCAGTCCGCCAGCGGCGGGAGGATTCAAACCTTCAAAACAGGTGCTGCAGGCTCCAGAGCCCAGGTGCTCTCACAGGAAGCGGGCACCTGGGGCTGGGCACCAGGCTTCTGCCTGCCCAGCTCCCAGCTCCACCCGGTCTCCTAATAGACCCAGCTGTCCCAGGGCAGCCTTCACCGCTCACTCTCAGTCTGTGGGACTCAGTGGTCCAGGAAAGGGGTGGAAGGGGACATGACTGGACCTGGGCAAACAGAAAACCACACCCTCCAGCCCAAAGAGACCGATCCAGTCCACACGGCTCGGAACGCCTGCCGGGAAGACAGCCTCTCTCTCTCCCTCTGCTGGGCTGGGATTCAGGCTCGCGGCAGGGGCCACCATGTAGAATGCTGCCTAAGAACAGACCAGGCCAGGAGAGGGGAGCCACCAGGCACTGCGGGTGGCACGTAAGCCCTGTCACTCACTCTGCCAGGGCGCCTCCTCCACGCTGGAGTGGACCTCGGCCCGGGGGACACAGGGCACCGCACACACCAGCACCCAGCCACACCTGCGGCCGCCGCACACCTGGACTCCCCGGTTCCGTAAACCACGCCTTTCCCTGTGGATTTCAGGTTCTGCCACTGAGTCCTCCTACAGCAACACCAGACCACAGCCGCCCACCTCCAACAGCTCCCGGTCTCGCTGGCCACCGACGCACTTGCTCCATAGAGGCAAGGCCACCAGCATGCTCTCAGTTCCTCTACAGGTGGAACTCTACAGGTGCTTGATCTCCCCAACCAGGAAAGAAACTCCGAGAGCCGAGCCCGCCTGCTTCGCTTCTCTGTAACTTCCCTGGCCCCCAGCGCAGGTCGGGCACACGACAAGCCCTCCTCAATGATGGTCTCAGGTATCACTCCCAAACCACTTCTTAAGTGCCAGCCACAACCCAGACACGGCCCAAGCGTGGCCTACACACTGACGATTTCTACTGATAGGGTTTGTGATGTTTAAAAATGTGGGCTGGGAAGCCGGGCACGGTGGCTCACGCCTGAAATCCCAGTACTTCGGGAGGCAAAAGCGGGCAGATCACGAGGTCAGGAGTTTGAGACCAGCCTGGCCAACATAGTGAAAGCCCTTTCTCTACTAAAAATACAAGAAAATTAGCCGGGCGTGCTGGAGGGTGTCTATAATCCCAGCTACTCGGGAGGCTGAGGCAAGGAGAATCGCTTGAACCAAGGAGATGGAGGTTGCAGTGAGCTGAGATCGCACCATTGCACTCCAGCCCGGGCGACAACTGCAAGACTACCGTCTCAAAAAAAAAATAAATAAAAAATAGTGGGGCTGGGGGCAGGGCACAAGGGGCTCATGCCGAATCGCAGCAGGCTTTGGGAAGGCAGAGGCGGGGTCAGATAATTCTTTGAGGTCAGGAGTCGTCACGACCAGGGCCTCGGCCAACATCGGCAAAACCCACTGCCCTACGCAAAAAAGTACAGGAAAAACTGACCAGGCCATCGGGTGCAGTGGCCCTATAATTCGCACTGCTTGGAAGGCTGAAAGCAGGAAGAAATGCTCTGAAGCTGGAAGGCGCAGGTTGCAGTGAGGCCAAGATCCGAGTCACGCATTCCACGCCTGGGCAACAGACCCCAGACTTCCCGACTCAGGTAAAAAAAAAAAAAAATGTGGGCTAGGCACCGTAGCTCACACGTGTACATGCCCGCAGCACCTTTGGGAGGCCAAAGGGGTGGCATCAAACTCCTGAGGCTCATCCCGAATTCGACACACCTGGCCCACACCCCATGGTAAACCCGAAAGCCCCCCTCTGCAGCAAAAATACAAAAAAAATTACCCCGTCAGCGCGTCGGCATGTGGCGGAAGCTGAGTCCCGGCTACAGCTACTTAGGGGCTGAGGTAGCGAGAATTGCTTGAACTCTCGCGTGAGGCTCGACGGGCTAAAGTAACCCGCCAGAGAGTGTCACACTTCATACTGCCAGCTCGGTGAGCAAAGTGAGACCTCGTCCTCAAAAAAAAAAAAAAACAAAAAACATAAAATCAAACCATCTTCTAGCGCTGCAGACCATACCTAAACATCAAGCTGTCAGGCCGGGGCGCAGTGGTCAGCTGTATCCCAGCCTTTGGCGAGGCCAGAGCGCGCGGATCACGCCAGGTCACGGAGAATCGAGACGCTCACCTGGCTAACGGTGAAGACGCCGTCTGCTAGTAAAACAAAAAAAAAATACACAACAAACTAAGCGCGGAGTGAAGGTGGCGGGGCGGCCTGTAGTCTCCGCAGCTACTCGGGGGGAGCGCTGAGGCACGCGAGAATGGCATAAACCCCCGGGAGGCGGAGGCTTGCAGTGAGGGCTGAGTATCCCGGCCCTGGGGCACTCCAAGCCTGGGCGACAGACGCGCTTCCGAGACCCCCCGTCTCCAAAACACAAAACATACACTAACTATACCCACCACTCACGCCCAACGTATCACACACAACACACTCAAGTGCAGCGCGCGACACACAGGTTTGCCGCAGCTTTGGCCAACGGGCGCACGCGCGCGCTGCACCTGAGTAACGCTCACACACGCCCCAGGACACCCAGAATCATGAGGGCCTGCACAGGCAGTCGTGCTTTGCATGTTTAAAAAATAAGGCGGTGTGTTGCGGGCTCAGGCAGCCTGTAATCCCAGCACTTGGGAGGCCAAGACGGGAAGCATCACTTGAGGTCGAGGAGTTCAAAGACCAGCTGACCAAATGTTGAAACCCATCTCTAATAACGAGAATAGCAAAAAAATTGGGCCAGGCGTGTTGCAAAGCGGCTGTAGCCGCAGATAACCAGGAGGTTGCACGGCGTGAAGAATCGCTTGAACCCGGCAAAAAAGCAAGAGGCTTGCCAAATGAGGCTGAGATTGCGCCCACTGGGCAGCTCCAGGGCTGGGGAGGCAAGAGCTGAGACTCCATCCCAAAAAAAAAAAACAAAAATTGGGTACAA